GTTGGCCCCAAATACAATGTCTTCAAGAACAAAAATGAAATGTGATCTACATTAAAGATAGAATAACTATGGAAATGGGTGGTATCCATGATACAGTAAAGAAATCTTCTCTCAGTAAAAAATAAAAGAAAGACAAATGGAAATTCCAGGAAAGACAAACAATAAAAATTGTGTAAAATAACTCATGATACGAATCCAAAGCCTGTTAAAATACAACATCATTTTAAGCTATTTCTGAAATGATAAAAGAGAATTTATTTCATTTGGACACTAGAACATTCTTCTCCAAGGATCCTAGAGATCATGACTTTACACCTATAAAAAGAAATGTAATCGTTGCACATTATTTGACTATGCAGTAAATGATAGTTTAAAAAAACACAACAATATAAATTAGGGAAAGCATTAATTTTCAATTTTCAGGATCAACCTATAAGCAACATGTGAAAGATGGGTTTCAGTAAAGAATGTATTTGTCATTGACCTTGAAATGCAAAAATAAAAATACAGCTGACAGAATGTGGGGGTTAGGATACAAGCATGTGGAAGATGGAAGAAAGGAGAAAAGGTCCAATTGCCTCATCAAAGCATATCCAAAATGGCCTACTTCACTAACTCCAAAAGCACTGCCTGCTCAGAAGGAACCTCATCTGTCTGGGTTACTTAAGAGCCTCTTGGTCAGTCCCCTGTCTCCACCAACGTCTTCCTGCACCTCTCAACATGGAAGGCACACACAGCCTTCTAAACACAGGTCAGACCATGTCACTTCTCTGCTCAAAACTTTGCAGTGGCTTCCCATTTAACCTAGAGTTTAAAAAAAATAATAATAATCCCTAAATTGATCCATGTGACCTTCACCGTCTCACACTCCTGCTTTGCGGCTTTTGCTGTTGCCCCTGTCTGGAACTTTCTTCCAAAGATATTCACATGGAATATGGAAAGTGAATAGATAGTGTCTTTCATGGTTTTTGTTTTGTGGTCCCAGAGATAGAACCCAGGGCCTCCTGCATGGTAGGCAAGTACTTTACCACTGAGCTACAACCCTAGCCCTTATTTATTTCTATTTTGAGACAGGGTCTCCCTACCGTTGCCCAGTCTGGCCTCAAACATGCAATCCTTCTGCCTCAACCTCCTGAAGAGCTGGGATCACAGGTATGAACCACCATACTCAGAAGACAGTGAATTTTAACTTGAGAAATAAAGAAATATGAGCAAAAGCATCTAATTGAATGTCTGGAGGTCATTACCAGAATACTAAAAGAAAAAAATAATTATTTTTTGCAGTACTGGCGATTAAAAAGTGTTTCTACATATGTACAACAATAGAATAACACAGCAGTCCATAAACACAATGGTTGTCCCAGTTTGTATAAGTACATACTGTGGTGTTCCTACAATGACAAATTGCCTAAAGATACATTTTTCAGGACATAGCCCAATCATAGGCAATGCATGACCGTGTATGTATGTTTGTTATGAGCCGAGAAACAAACTCTTGAAGGGTACACACCAGATTACTTGCAGATGTAACTTTTCAGGGATCAGTTGAAAGGAATAGAGGGGTAAAAATCAGTATTAAAGGTTTTAGTCTTTTTAGCTTGTCAAAAAGAGGGAGAATATTTGCCTGTGGCAAGTGGGACTAGGAAGAGGGCAAAACACTTGTTTTTCTGTAGAAACTCGTCAATAGTATTTTATTTTTACTTTGATGGAAATTAAAGAAAATCAATTTTAAAAAAGAAAAAGAATAAACAGTTCTCGGTTCAGTCTAGCACACGCAAAAATGTACCCTAGAACCCTAAAGTACCATCACAACTGAGATGATGCTAGATTTGGAAATTTTCAAAGTATTACCAGCTGCTCACTAATAAAATAAGATAACATGAAACATTTGGTTTTAAGCATTTTAACTTCTTGATATCAACCCACAAGGATTTCAAAATGTCCCTCTATTAACAACATAGTCACTATATGGACATCAGGGCCTCTTCTCTTATCCACCTGTCAGCTGCTGGGGAACTGGTCCAGTATTTTAGCATTTGATCTTATTTTCTCCTTCTGGATCACGTGGTTGGCTTGGCCTCTTTATGAGATTGCCAAATGCAAGTGTAACATGCCAAGCCAAACATCTGTCACTAGGCAGCAGGAAATTAATTGGTCTTACCTAAAAGAGTGTTTTCTACACCCGGAACACTGTAGTCATTAAGCCAAGATGAGGACCCAGCCCTGGTGAATGGTGTGGCCGGACTTCAAGGTCTCAGGGAGCAGCCAGTTTCTCCCCATGCTCACAGAGCCCTGGAGGGCCCAGCCTCTCCTTGTGAAGCCATGTCCAGAAAGAGAACAGGGCGGACATTCTGATGAGGAAGCGATAGGCAGGTCTACAAAGAGTTCTTTGAGTCACTTTTATAGTTTCTATAAAACTCAAGGGCTAAGACTAAAAGTGGCCTCTGCTGCTTATTCATGGGTCAGCCTTGGCATCTGATGCAAATGTTCTTCCAAACCCTAGGCGGCCGGCGGAGATAATAAAGACAGCTTTTGTCCAGACTGCAAGCAAAAGAGAAATTCTGGTTCTCTACCCTTGATTTTATCCCAGGCCGGAAGGGAAGAAAACAACAAAAGGTTCCTGTATCTCCACAGCAGATCTTTAGCATGGGAATGAGTGTGTTGCCCTGGTTACGACGATCAATTGACTACAACACAGGTAAGTGACAAACCAAACTGGCCTGTGGTGCCACATGCCCTGTAATCCCAGTGACTAGAGAGGCTGAGGCAGGAGGATAGCAAGTTGGAGACCAGCCTCGGCAACTTAGTGGGACCCTGTCTCAAAAGAGAAAATGAAAAGTGCCGAGGAGGATACAGACAGCTCAGTGGTAGAGCCTTACCTAGCATGTGCGAGGCTCTGTGTTCAATTCCCAGCACCAGGAAAAGGAGAGATAAGGGGCCGGGTGGGTGGGTGACAAGCCATTTGAGGTGTTTAAGATAACAGGGACCAAAAACATTATCTGTGCATTTATGTGTGAACTTTTGGGGAAAAAAAAGGCCTGAAGGCTGTATTGCAGTCCCCATGGGTAAATTTATTATGTCGTTTATTACGTTTACAAGACATCTAACAATTACATTTTGGAAGGGAATGTTTGGAGAGTAGCATGTTGTTAGAGTGCATGATTAGCATGTTCAAGGCCCTACGTTTAGTCCCCAGCACCAAAAGATACAGTATAAATAAAATAAAAATTGGGAGAAGTTATCAAATATGACATTCATTTTAGAATTATTAATATCATTCCATTTTTTTCTGATAATGATATTACTCAAGGATTGATTGTCCCTTAGGTCATTCTTGCTTCTTGAAAGAAAACCCCTATTATCATATAATTAACTACCCTTCCCCCAATTCTCCAAAATAGTGGGGCGATGGGTTAGAAAGGGAACTTTGTTTTAGAGTACTTTTTTAAAAGCCCCCCACTCCAAGTACTGGAGATTAAAACCAGAGGCACTCTACCACTGAGCTACACCTCTAGTTCTTTTTATTTTTGTTTTTAATTTTGAGACAGGGTCTCACTAGGTTGCTGAGGCTGGCCTTGAACTTGCAATCCTCCTGCTTCAGCCTCCCTAGTCACTGGGACTATAGGCATGTTTCACTGTGCCCAGATGTTTTAGAGGAAAACTATTCCTCTGGTGCTTAAATCTTCCTGTGTTGTTTCAAAGCACTGGTCACCAGGAGTATACGAAGCTTATCCACAATTCATTTCCTCCTCAATCTCAATTCCATCTAGATGTCCAAACAGAAGTCTGCAAGCAGTTCTTGTCTTCTCTCCCTTACTCTCCACATCCACTCATCCCCTACAAAGTCTTGCATGCTATAATTCTAAAATACATCATGAATTTTTCCTCATTCTCTGATTAAAGGGAATGGCCTGCTACAACAGTAATTTTTTTTAAAAAAAGAAGCATTTTAAAAAATAATAATAATAAAGTAGTCTATGTCTTGTAATGCTTAGTATGATTCAGGCGCTCTTCTAAGTACTTTACATGGATTAATGCATTTACTCCTATGAATAACCCTATAAGGCATTCTAGTATATTGCCACTTTAAGATGGAAAAAAAGATACACAGAGAAGTTAAGTGATTTTTCCAAAGCCACACAGCTAGGAAATAGAGGAGTCAGAAGTCAGCTCCTAACTGATCCTCTGCATTCATACCTACCATGTTCTAATCCAATTTCAACATGAGAGCCAGTATGATCATTTAAAACAAATAACTTATAGATAACCATAAATTCCCTTAAGGTGAAAACAGAAAATACCTTAATTCTTCTTTCCAACAGCCCAATTGAGCCAGCTTCTCAAGACAGATTCTTTCCTAATGACTAGGGCAAGTCCCTTGCCTTTTATTGATGTTCTTAGTTAATAAAATTTATTTTAATCATAGAGTAGTCTCATCTTAATAATAAAAATGCCTAATCTGGCATTTTGGCTAAAACTCTGAATTTCATTAAAGTGAATGCTTCGTCCCCAGCTCCCACCCAGACCCGCCTGGGCTGTGGCCTTTGTGGTGGGGTCAGCCCCTCTCCTTTGGCCCTCCTCCATTTTATTCTCTCTGCTGACTTTTGGCCAGCCAGGGCTGCAGGGGCCAGCAAAGGAAGGGAGATAAGAGACAAGAATGTTCTTGTGTGACAGGCATAGATGTAACTAGCATTGATATGCCCTGGCCCTGATAAGTGTTAAAGTCCACTCTGGCTCTCAGGGCCCTTATGAGCACCTTGGACACTCCTCGGTGGGTTTTCCTGACCATAGCTCTACCAAAGCAGGCAAAGCCTCAAACGTAATTGGACATTTACACGCCCACTCCACCCCAGCCTCCTGCAGCTGCTGAGTCTTAGCACGCGTTTTGCTTCTGCCCTGGGGTGGGCAGAAGGCCTCTTAAGCATGATCCCCGTTCAAATGACCTCAGGTACATATTCCTACCAATGATTCCATACTTCTGAGCACCAATGAAGGATTACAGCTACTTTCCAAACAGTTCCTTGTTCTGGTGCCAGTAAACTCTTCTCCCGGTATTTCTGTGACCTGTGGAATTCAGAGGGTACAAGTCAAACACTCCCTGTCTTCTCAGTGAAGCCTCCCTCAGTGGGCCTGAGGTGAAGTATGACCCCACCAGGGTCATAGGGAAGGCTCACCCTGTGGTGAAGGGTCTTTCCACAAATCTTCCCAGTCTCAACTAGCTCCTCATCTCTTCAATTTTAGCACTACAGTGTCAGCCTTAAGATGGGCAGGGGAGGGCTGGGATTGTGGCTCAGCAGTGGAGCGCTCGTGTGCCACGTGCAAGGCCCTGGGTTCGATCCTCAGCACCACATATAAGTAAGTAAACTGAATAAAGATATTGTGTCCCACTACAACTAAAAAATAAAAAAGATGGGCAGGGGAGTGAGGGTCCACAGAACTGGTTTTCGTATGTGTTTGGTTTTTGGTGCTAAGGCTCTAACCCAGGGCTTTGCATGGGGGGCAAGCACTCCACCGCTGGTTCCCAGCCCCACAGAATGGTTTTAAACACCTCTTGTGTAATTCTGCCATTGCTGATCTGACTTGAACAGTTCACTGTGGAATGTGGGGGTAATTGAGCCCCTGATGAAAGTGAGCCAGAAAGAGTCCCAATTTCACATCCTCTTAGAAACACATCCTATTGTCTTCCCATTGCTGCTGGGATTGAATGTCAATCCTTTAATATGTCTGTGGAGCACTGTGTCCGGTGGCACCTACCTACCGCCCAGCCTTGTCTCATACTCCACAGAGGAATAGCCAAGGTTCGTTCCTGGGTCCAGCCATACCGGTCTTTTTTTGCAGGTCCCTGGGTTCCCTCAGCTCTTTTCTACTCACTGCTTTTTGGGGGGGGACCAGGGATTGAACTCAGGGGCACTCCACCACTGGGCCACATCCCCAGCCCTATCTTGTATTTTATTTAGAGACAGGGTCTCACTGAGTTGCTTAGTGCCTTGCTCTTGCTGAGGCTGGCTTTGAACTTGCAATCCTCCTGCCTCAGCCTCCCACACTGCTAGGATTATAAACCTGCGCCACCTCATTCAGCTCTCACACTGCTTCTTGCTTTCTCATTTTTTAGGCCTCTTAAGCATGATCCCAGGTATGCATTAAGACCAAGAGTGTTTATGTTTACCTCATAACAAAGGACTTTCCTGAAATCGCTCCCTTCCCCCACCCATTATTCTCTTCTGAATATATTATTTTACTTTACAGCTTCTATCACAGGTTATAATCCTAAATTGTAACTATTTGCCAAAGCATTTCCATTTTCCTCATACAGTTGAACTACATTTCCCTGTCTCACCTGCAGTTAGGTGCAGCCAGATGACTGTTCTAACCAAGGGAATACAGGCAGCTTCTGGGTCTAGCCTGCAGAGTTCTGCCACATGTAATCCTCCATTCGCTTTTTCCATTCACCAACTTCATAGATAAGATTTAAAGACCCAGAGGAGTATAGAACTGCAAAGGAGAAGTGGGTTAGTGCTAATGGGGGGTATCCAGGATCCTCAAGCCATCAGCAACAGCCTGGATGGATCATTCCCTAACCAAAAGCAAGCTTTTACTGGATTAATCCATTTAGTTCTCTCTCTCTCAACTGGACTTTGAACTCAGGGGCACTTTACTGCTAAACCACATCCCAAGCCCTTTTTATTCTGAGACAGGATCTCACTAAGTTGCTGAAGGTCTTGCTAGATTGCTGACACTGGCCTTGAACTTTCATGCCTCCTGCCTCAGCCTCCCAAGTCCCTGGAATTAAAGGTAAGCACCACGGCACCCACAGGAGTTTTATCCTCATAGAAGATTCCAGTTAATAAATTGAAGAAAGAATGATAGCATTAGATTACCACCATTTTAAACACTGATGAATTAATGAATCTAGACAATGATCACCAATGACTGTTATTGGTGATGGAAAGAGGGATCTTTGAGATTATTCACAGAATACTAAGAACACTTCATTGAGTCCTAGGGCTCTCTTTTCTATTTACATTCACTTCCAGATGATCAGAACCAATCCCAGGTTTTTAATACATCTATACATTGATAACTTCCAAAATTTTATCTCCCTCTCTAACAATCCAGCAAAATTCTAACCACTCTCCTGATTCTTTACTCTTCTCTACTTTTTTGATTGTTCCTTGAAGGCAATTGCTCCTTCCTGCCTCTGGGCCTTTGCATCTACTCTTCTTCTGCCTGGCACACTCTTCTACCACATGTGCTCACAGCTTTGTCACTCACGTCATTCAGACATCCTAGAGAAGCCTTTCTGGACAATCTATCAAAAAATAGCACCTGGGCTGGGGATGTGGTTCAAGCGGTAGCGAGCTCGCCTGGCATGCGTGCAGCCCTGGTTCGATCCTCAGCACCACATACAATAAAATATGTTGTGTCCACCGAAAAACTAAAAAAAATAAATAAAAATTCTCTCTCTCTCTTTAAAAAAAAAAATAGCACCTTAGGGCTGGGGCTGTAGCTCGGTGGCACAGAACCTGCCTATCATGTGTGAGACACTGGGCTTGATTCACAGCACTGCATATAAATAAATAAAATAAAGGTCCAACATATTTAAAAAAAATAGCACCTTAGCCGGGCTTAGTGGTGCACATTTGTAATCCTAGCACTTTGGGAGGCTGAGGCAGGAGAATCTCAAGTTCAAAGGCAGCCTCTGCAACTTAGCAAGACCTTGTCTCATAATAAAAAATAAAAGTCAGAAGGGGCTGGGGATGTAGCTCAGTGGTTAAGCAACCCTGGGTTCAATCCCTGATAACCCCCCAAAAATAGCACCTTGCCTCTTCCCATGGCCCCCACCTACTTTGACCATCTCCTTCCCCTGTTTTACTGTTTTCCGTTGCACTATTACTACTTGATAATACATATTTGCTTACTTGTTATGTGTCCATTTAAAGCCTATGGAAGTCCATGAGCACAGGAATTTTGTGTGCCTTGTCCACTGCTGTTTCTTCAGAGCATAGAAGAAGTGCTCTCAATGTGTAGGAATGCAATATATATATTTTTGAACAAACAAATGAATTAATGGATTCTAAACAAATGTGCCTGTTTCACTCAATTAGAGTTTTGAATCTAATTTAGCAAACCCTATATATTGCTTACTGACTGGGTAATCTGAGGAGAGCTGTTTAATCTCCCTGTGCCTCAATTTCTTCATCTGTGAAATGGAAGAAAATGTCACCTATTTCATTGAGTATGAGGTTTGAATAAATGAATACATGAAGTGCTTATTCTGGGATAATGCCTAATAATAATAAGTATTCAATTAGTGCTTGCTGATATTTGTTGGGTTTTGGTTTTTTATTTTATTTATTTATTTTGGTGGTGCTTGGGATTGAACCCAGGGCCTTGTGCATGTGAGGCAAGCACCCTACCAACTGAGCTATATCCCCAGCCTCCTGGTATTGTTATTGTTACAGAAATCTAGACTTTCAAAGTTTAAATTAAGGAAGTAGAAGAAAGGGCCATTTTTCACATTATAAAGGACAGTTGAAAATTATAACAAATAAATGTGTATTAGGATTTACAAAGCAGATGTTAAAAATAGCAGAGAAACTTGAAAGTCTTAGAAACCTCTGCCAGTTAAAAATCAATCAGCAGCTGGGTGCGGTGGCGCATGCCTGTAATCCCAGTTTAGGAGGCTGAGGCAGAAGCATCAAGAGTTCAAAGCCAGCCTCAGGAAAAAGCAACATGCTGAGCAACTCAATGAGACTCTGTCTCTAAATAAAATGCAAAATAGAGCTGGGGATGTGGCTCAGTCGTCGAGTGCCCCTGAGATCAAATCCCAGTACTAAAAATAAATAAAATAAAAATCAGCAATAAAGACAAACGAAGTCTGAAACTATGATGGAGCCATTCAAATTTGATTAACAACCAAAAAAATTAGTTTATTTACAACTCTTCAGGATAACAATTGCAGTATATATCAAAGCACATCTGTATCTTTAAAACAATAAATGCCACAATATCAGCAAAGAAGATGGAATCCTTTCCCACTGTCTGTGTGCCTTCTACACCACATAACCACCATGTCCCTCTTTACTAACAGCTTCCATCTGGAGGAAGCAGCTCCAGCCCAAACTTATCACATTAGTGCAAAGCCAATAAACTTGACCCACAAAAAGGGTTCTACAAATGAAGGTGATTGATTAGCTAAGTGTTAACTATCAATTCTGCACTAAAAATAAGCCAAAAATTAAAGCAAAAAATATGGATATTTTTGATAAAATTTGCTTTTAAGCCAGTTGCTTATGCATTTATCTCTGTTTCTTTTCCTACATGTCATTAGGGAAATAAAATTTTTTTCTATCTTTTGTTGTTGTTGTTGTTATCTGCATTATTCTGGTGTTTTTACTTTATATTAAAACTATCAGGATTCTGCTGCACTCTCCTTTGACCAAACTGACTTGCCAAGCATTTGCATTTTTCTGTTCCCACAAAGCAACCTCCCATCTTTTAGAATTTCAAAGCATGCCAAAGAAAGGAGATTGTGCTGGGTGTCTCAACATACCTTGAGCCTCAGCCCTCCTGTCCCTCCAACAGCCACACAAAAGAAGAGCTTCTCATAAAGACAGCTCTTAAGATTCAAGGGAGAATTAAAAATCAGTGAAGTTAACTATGGCACTATAAATACCATACTAGTTGATCCTACCGCATATTCCTACTGTGATTTCAGATTGAAAATGCAAAGCCATAGATATGGAATAAAGTATTGCTTAGGACATTTTGTGCTATAAAATGACTCACTTGTAATAACAGATCTTCCCTCCCTATTTAGTACCTTGTGAAGCAATTGGTTAAGCACTTATTATTATTATTATTATTTTTAAATCTTAACCAATTCGTAAATGTGAATACTCCTTCTCAGAGAGATTTCAAACTGAGAAATTGTATTTCATTTCATGACAGCAATTGTTTATGGGCTATTTATTTTAAATTTGTTAAGCATATCAGGTTTAATCCAGAAAGTCCTTCAGTTTAAGTGTTCAAAGAGCATGTGAGCTAAAAGCTTAAATCAAGTC